CCCTAGTAGACTTAAGAATATATATATAGCCGTCCCAGGTTTAATTAAAACCTAACCTAAGTTGGCGTCCAAACCATATAAAAATAAAACCCTAATCCTATATTAAATACAAGACCAAATAAAATAATTAATTTAGACAACTAAATAATTAAAATTAAACAATTACTTTAAAACAAATACACAATTAATTTAGAATCAAGAACAAATACACAATTAATTTAAAATAAAGAAATAATTAAACAATTACGCAAATGAGCACATAAATCACATAATGAAATAAAAAATGCAATAAAATCAAATTTAAATTCCCATTGTATCCTTTTGAAAACTAGGGGTATTGCACATGTTGTGCTTCAAATTGGTACACTCAATGTCTAAAAGGGACCCAAACCGAATCTCTTGTACGACTACCTTTTTTACCTCACTTAAATTGTATACTGCTTCCTTGAATCTACCTGGAGAACACCGAGTATTCAACATCTACAAATAAATTACCAATAAAGGCACATTAGATAGAAAAGGAAGGATAGAACACAAATATGGACATATTTCAATTAAATAGAACAAAGTTACACTGCCTTTTATGTTGCTAGCGATGAAACATGCTCAAATATCATGAGCGTTGGGTGTTAGTGATATATTTCTGCTATTATTGTAATAAAATATAGAATTAATCAGAAAGGGGCATATAATAATTATAAAGAACTACTCTACAATAATTACAAAGAACTACTCTACAATTCTAGTTGCTAACTTGCTAATTATCATGCGAATTGCAATTCTCAAGTACACCTTCATGAGTAGCTATAGGTTAACAAGTAGCTTTTGATAAGGATAAACAATGAGAAATAATTTAGGCAAATTATTAACATCCAGAGCCTTCCAAGGTATATTCTTTCATTGAATAAAACTGAATATGACATTAAAATGGCCAAGTAAAGCTTTACAAGTACAAACTTAATATTTGACAAAAAAGACAAGTCATCAGCAGGCAAACTGTCATCATATGCATCGACAAAAAAAGAACAAAAAATAAGCGGTTGAAGATCAACTCAAAAGGGCATTGGATGAAAATTTGGAGAACTCCGAACCTTGAACCGTCATAGCATCTCCCTAGCAAGTGCTTACCCTAGGAGGTGAGAAATGACCTTACAGATACTTTCTTGCAAGGGCTCGAACTTTTGTATCAAAATGAGATGACGTAATGCGAGATCCAAGCAAGTAAAGGGGATTGAGAAGAATCTACAAATTTCCAACAATTTGAATATGGCAGTAAAGGACTACAGTTTAGGCTAATATTAGAAACAGTGATAGTACGGGATGACAACTATTCTTTGTTTATTTTTCCATAAGAATTAGTTTTTTTGTGTGACTTCCCACATTATAAAGGCAGTTTTTTCTGGTTAAAGGCAAAAGAGCTTAGGATAATTTTCATATTTTAAAACAAAACAAACCCTGGTGCCTTATTGACCATTCAGATCAAGTCAATTTAAATGATCTTTTAAATTAACTCTATTTTGTTTTCAATGATTCAAGTAGCTGTCTGCATAGCCATCATAAAGTTATTGAACTCTCATCAAACTAAAAAGAGGAATTGAGACTAAAATGTGCAGTAAATAAAGCATCAAGCCACCAACAACATAATTGTATGAGATTATGTAGTCAAGTCAAGATGTAAGATATGAGGATAATAGGAAAATATGTAGTCAAGTCTTTTTTCTTTTTATGTAGATACAGGGAGACGAAGCATATGCCTTGAACCTTGGTATATGGTGCAACCCAGTACAATTGAACATACAACAAAATAAATTGTAATTATGAAGTTCTACAAAAGTGAGAAATATAAAATCAATATGATTTTAAACTGAAAGAAGAATCAACAACGATGCATAGACGGTATAGCAAAAATCATAAGATAAAAGCCCCAATTACCAGAGGGCATAAAAGGAGAATAATTTGCTTTAAAGCGTTTTAGAAAGAATTCTATTTCACATAATATTAAAGAATTTTTGTTTCAATCCCTTAGGCTACGTTTGGTGTGCAAGAATGGAATGGAATGCAGCTCGGAATGGAATGAGAATGAGAATGGAATGGAATGAGAATATTATTCCATTGTTTGGTGTGACACGATGAATCGTTATGGAATGGAATGATTATTACCATTCTATTGTTTGGTTGACCATCATTAAATCTGGAATGGAATGATTTTTGTCAAAAATACCCTTTTCAATGGCTTACATTACTTTTTAATAAAAATCTAATTAATATTCTGACGATGAATTATGGAATGTTATAAGATGCCCAATACTGTCATTGAAAAAAATAAAGAAAAACCTTAAAATAAAATAAAATATTATTTTTGACTCTAGATGATTGTTAATTTTTATTTTATATTATCATTGCTTTATATATAAATGTTCGAAGAGAGAAAGATGGAGAAATCACACAAACGTTTCAACACAAAGATATGAAAAAAAAAAAAAAAAAAAAGTGATATACTCAGAAGATAAAGAGATTAATACTTACAATTTGGTTGAAGATGCTGCAACTTTTTGTCAATGGCAGAGTATATTTAAAAGAGATGGAAGGTGAAAGACCTTTACTATGTCTAATAAAGAAGTTGAAAAATGGAATGTGAAATATTTTTTTGTCTATACGAAAGATTTTTGCCTTATTGAAATGTGATGAAGGGCTTATTAAGAATATTACAAAAATATTTAATCTTACTATGGAATGGAATGGCCATTCTATAGGTTTAGTAATGGAATGAATTTTCATTCTCTGGAATGGATTTTCATTCCAATGTAATGACTATTTTATTTCATTTCTGCACACTAAACAATGAATGGTTGGAATAGGCATTCTATTCCATTTCATTCCTGCACACCAAACGTAGCATTAATTCTTTTGGAGATCCCATAAGAGCCTTTAGTTTCTTACAACCTTGACACTTTTGCATCCAGCTTTCCTTTTTGTTCCACCAGCTTAACCATACCAATGCCCCTTACCAGTGCATTCATTTATGATTGAACCATCTTTAACTACTTCCCCTCATCTTGTCCAAATGCCACCTCTAACTTCTTGTGAAAGCATTCTTATTATAAATCTTTCTCGTTTTACCTCTCATCGATCACAGCATCTTCAATTGGCTATGTCCATATCTTAACCGGAATTTTTATTTATTTATTTATTTATTTTCTTCTAAATCATTGATTGTTTTAAATTTATCCTGAGTGTAATTAGTGGTCGCACATAGCGTATAATTGATTGACCATTGGGCCTGGTTTTAGGTTGGGTTTGTATTTGTTATTGAATGTGAATCATGATTCACAAACACCAATTTTTTTTTTTTTTTTGCTGGGACTCTACCTTTATCAACAAATGATAAACTTTCAGAGTAGCATGAAAAAAAATAAATCAATGGCTCATTCCTCCTAATTAATGTAATTATATATATAAAATATCACTTAACCCAATGGAAAAAGATAAAAGGAAAAAAACATGTGCGTAATTATATAGCTACAGAAAAATTGAGAGGTGAGATATTTCTCCATGCTCAAAAAAAAAAAAAAAAAAAAAAATTAGGACATTTAAAGTTCAAGCACACAATCAATTACCAATTAAGCGTCCAAATTGAACTGACCCACACAGAAACACATGCATACGTTTAAATTAGATTCGGTATTTTACCTCAGACCCTAGATTCATTCTACCAAATCAACAAAAAGAAATTTATAGATTAGGCAAGGATATGCTAAATCAGTTGAGCAAATTACTGAAACTAAAAGGTGCTCAAAACGGGTAGGGGAAGATCCACCCAAAACGGGTGTGTGTGTGTGTGTGAGAGAGAGGGAGAGATAGTACTTACCAGTTCATTGAAGCACAACGACCACCAATAACAAGAACAACAACGAGTAAACGAAGTGGAGAAGTGGGGTTGCTGCTTCGTTGGGTTACAGAGAGGATGAGAGAGAGGGCGCATGAATGAGGGTTAGGGCTATGCTTAAATCACTGTTATAGAGAGGGGGAGAAGGAAAGGGAGGGCTCTTCACGAGTAAGATTCTGAGTGAGGGTTAGGGCTCTAATAGGGTCAAATGTATTGGAATATAGAGAAGGGCATTTTAGGCAACACAAAAAATAGGGAGAAGGACATTTTAGGCAACACAAATTTGAAACAGTAAATCATCATATGCCATGTCATCTTTTGGGTCAAATTCATATTTTTGAAACTATCAAACTTTGACTCAATCAATGAGTAAATATAAGGTCTTAAGCCCATTTATGTGTAAAAATCCTTAATATTATTAATTATATGTATATGTATATATATATTTCACTGTTATAAGTAGGAGTTTTAATTAGTTGGTAAATATCCATTTTCTTATATTTAATAATTAGATGGATAAATATTCAGTTTTTTATTTTTATTTTTTTATTTGAAATATTTGAACATGTGTCAATAAAAGTAAGCCCAATCCATAGGCAAAAAAAAAAAAAAAAAAAAAAAAAATTAAAAAAAAAAACACCGGCCTAATATAGAGAGAGAAACCAAGATGAGAGAAAAAAATAGAGAGTGAGAAATAATGTAAGAAAGAGTAAAAAGAGGAAGAGAAAATATCATGTATATAAAAAAAGGAGCCTTAATCGGTAACATATGAAAATTTTATCCAAAAAAATATAAATGAATGTTTTGTTTAAACTTATTAAGATTATCTCTCTAATTTTCTCTCTTCAATAACAAGTTGAAAATGATGATTACTGTAAAGAGAAAAGAGGATTTTGTTTGAAAGGAGTAAGATGGGTATCACTATTAACCTATCATTATGATTGAATTAGATGTGTATTCATTTTTTATTCATTGACTCACTTCCTTAAATTTGAATACCCAAATAATTTAATTTTAAAGGACAAATTTGAACCTTTAATAGATTTGGATTTAAATTGCCACCTACGGACAACCTAAAATGCTCAATTTGACGAAGTGGGCCAACGATAATGGAAAGAGGACAGAGCCAATCGTTCCGGTTTCGATTGAGTCCGACCCAATCGTTCCGGTTAGGCTTTTAAAACCCTTGCAAAGGGTTTAAATTATTATATCATTCCATCCCAACCCAACCAAGGTCAGAAGTTGCAGAACAACGAACAGAGCAGAGAGCACAAGGAACTGATTACTGAGGAAGGAAAGACTGTAATCTCCAACGAACAGAGCAAAGGGTAATCTCTCTATTTTCTATTGTTGTTTCGTGCTTCTTTTATAGTTATTGTAATTTCATCTACACAATAACCTTCCATGTATTTAATCGGGTCATAAAATATGGGATGACCAAAGTATGTGATTTTTGGGTAATGAATGATTTTTGATGATTACCTGCGTTGCTGCTATGTCTTGAATTCATTTATCGGGTAATAATATTTTGTTTCAGAAATAATCTGAATCATCACAACGGCAATTCTAGAATTTTGGATCAAATATTTATATATGTCGGTAGTTGGTTCCCTAAAGGGAACGGTACCAGCAGCAAGAGTGATTTATGAGTTCAATGTGGCCGAAAGAGATGGATTAGGTCCGACGCCCCTACCGTTTTGACCTCCTCTCTCGGAAAGCACCTTTGCTTTGGGCGGAGGGTCAACAGCTTGGTCTAGGAAGAAGCTAGCAGGGGATACTATTACGGAATTCAGATGATGACATTGCTGACAGCAATCATCATCTAGAATATCTTCACTTTAAAAATCAAGCTTGTAATCTCAATAAGATCCCAATATATACGCAGTACACACACATTTCATCTGATATAATGTAAATTATTAAATGGCGAAGCATGTTGCTTTTGAACATTGGAATATATACATGGCTTACCAATTTAAAAATGCCTTTACAAGAACATGGTTTTGTTTTTTATGTTTGGCGTTTGCTATAGATACACCAGACAAATAAAACCTTTTACTAGTTATTGTTGTTCCACTAGTCTATCTTTTTTCCACTTTCCTTCAATGGTTAATATCATTTGCTGCTGTTGATTTTCATCATTTAATTATTGCTCTTCCCTCAAGTTTCACTGTCTTTGGCATGTTTCTAATATCTTTATTTTTTGAGGGCAGAAAAGTAACAAGTGAGGTAGAGGAAAATGCCTTCAAAGACCAAGAAGCATTCAAAGACAGCATCAAAACTCTCACATTCTGACCAGACTGCGTCTCCATCTCCCTGTAGTTCATCATCTGCGATGCCTGTCCCAGTTTCACAACTTAGTGAAGAGAATCTCCTTTTTTCTCTTGAGGAAGCTTCAAGCAAATTCCCTTCTCTGATCGGCAGATCAGCTTTTATTGGCCATATCACAGATATTGAGGCTGAGTCCAAAGGATGTAAGATGTGGCTTTCAGAGTCTTCTATGGTTGCCTTTTCCCTTGCTCCCGGTTCCATCGTATCGGTACTTCACAGCTTCTCATTTTTACTGTTCAACTATCTACTACTGTTGAATTTCATCCCAAATATCATTGGAATTGCTATCACGGATTTAATTTGCTAGGTTTTGGACATCCCATTTATGATTTCAGCTTAGGTTTGACTTTGACATGATTTTATGTAGAAATAAAATAGAACGTGGTAGGGAAAAACTTACTCAAAAGAAATCTACAATTTGTATGGAATCGGATCACTACATTTTCTAGCCAAAAAGTGATCCTTCAGTTATTAAACTGCAGCAATTGCATCATTTGTATCTAAAGATGGGTTTGGAACCAAAAAGTAGCTCAATGTTTGATTTTTTTAATTCCAAAAATAGGTTTTGGGACCAAAATGTTCATGTCTCTTTAAGGAAAGTAGTCGAGATGTAGCTCTTCCATATAGTGCCTATTTGGGAGCTTAGTGCCTTATTGTCTTTCAAATTTTAAAAAGATGCATCTGGAGGAAATGGTAAACTAGTGACTTTATCTCTGAACTTCTTAATAATCAGGAAAAAGAAGCAATTATATCATAATAACAATACTCATTCTGAGATGCAGTACTCCTCAAAATTCAATAAATTTTGAAATATATATATATTTTTGATAAGTATAAATTTTGAAATATTTGGTAGAATTTTATTTTAGTTTTGTAAGCAATACTGATAATGATGACGATAGAGTTCTATTCCAAAGATACAACTCCACAAAGATTTCTTAACTATTTGAGATCTGCTATATACATGTGTGTATATATATATCTAAATTCAAAGCCTATTATATTCATCAAAACATAGAATGTTTTTTTCACCCGCCTCCTAAAAGCTTTTGCAAGAACTTATTTTGCTTTTCAAAGTTTTTTTCTACAAGTTCATGATATTGCCGAGAAGGAAAGATTGATAGTTTTTGGTGGGGTGATTATTATAAATTATCATGGTGTCTATGTGACTGTGTCCTGTTATAGTTCGAATTTTTCTAAATATTGAGAATTCGCATGTCTAATTCCTCTTTCACATGATAGACATGTTTGACTACTTGTTTGAACTCCTATGGTTTTGCTCATACATATATTTATATAAATAGATGAATAAATATATACAAATAAAATGGCGGGACAAAACTGTATAATGAACATTATATATAGGGAGGCAATATCCGCACTCTACTTTTCGACATATGCACTCTCCTCTTTTTTCTTTTTTTAAAAAGAGGAAATTAGAAATGTGTTCCTAATCTCATTGATGTTTGATTTCTTCATATATGAAGTTAGGGACATGATGTAGGACAAGAACATACTCAAATAGAAGAGAGCAAATAAGAGTTGTGGGTTGGAAATTCAGATAAACAAAGCTATGGTTCAAGAGTTGTTAGTAGAAACTCGAAAGAAAGAATATGTAAATAACAAAGGAGCCTATTGGAATCACTCCAACCGGGCCTAGGCATCAGACCTAGGGAAGGCCTCACACCTTTAGTATTTGTGAAGCACTCACAAAGAAATCTCAAAAGATATTTTTTTTATTCATTCATTGTTTGAGTAATCAGAGTTACGTAGTATCCTTTTATAACAACTGATGACCCTTGGATTACCCTATAATTTAGGTAATCAAAAGTTGACTCTAGCAAAATGAAAGTAACCTCCACTGCCTTCCACCATCGCCACCACTGTCCTCGTCCACCACCACCACACCACTGCCACCGCCATTGCCTTCCACCATCATCACCTACACCACTGACGCCTTCCACCATTACCCACTGCCTTCTACCAACACCTTGCTGCCTTCTGCCACCACCGCCGTCGGCCCGTGGCCTTCCAACGCAACCACCTACACCACTACCGCTTTCCACCTTCATCACCATCAACCACCACATCCATTTATTTAAAAAACAATTATATAAGAATGTTATTTTGTCACTAACAGGGGTATTTTGGAGAATTTAATTTGAAATTCATACTTTTCTAAATTTTACATTAGTTCATTCCTACAAATTTCATATTTGCAATCAAACAATAGAATGAGAATGACCATTCCGTTCCCATTCTCACTAACAAGGGTATTTTGGAGAATTTAATTTGAAATTCACACTTTTCTAAATTCTACATTAGTTCATTTCTACAAATTTCATATTTGCAACCAAACAATAGAATGAGAATGACCATTCCATTCCATTCTTATTCTCATTCTATTGTGACTTGCATTCCATTCCATTCTAACTTGCATTCCATTCCATTCCTGCACACCAAACGTAGCATAGGATGTGGTTCCATTGGCTCTGGGACATTATAGTCTCCCTTACCATCTGCAGAATGACCAACAACCTTTTTGTCTCTGGGTGGCCTGGTGTTATTCTCCTTTCCGACACTTGCACCAGCCAATGCAGTAACAGCTGCACCATCCTGATTGCGACACTTTTTAAACCCATCCAACTCCATGGGGTTCTTGAGAGCTTTGGAAAGGACCTCAACCAAATTGGGAAGTGCTGACACACGTACTCTGGATTCCTGAACGACAAAAGTCTTGTGAAGAGAGATTGCAGACTCTGTAGCAGCCTCAAACCTCCCAACATCATGAACCTTTGCCATGGGCATGCTGTATTCATTTATCCAAGCCACTTTGAACAGTTGTAAACGTGGTTGGCTTGAAAATTTTAGGTGCTCAACCGGGGCTGCGGAGACAACACTTGTGCAGCCATCGCCATCAATAATAGGTTTCCGAGCTTGGTTCCCACAATGTACTTGGATCTGAAAAATAGTTGTGTGCCACCTATCTTCGTCTTCAACTTTAGGGTCTTCAAGGATGTGCCTCACAACGGAGTTGGAGGAAACATTCTCTTCATCCTCTTCCCGATGATCAGTGTTGTTCTCATTATCCTTGCTAGTCATCCTACCCTTTCCTTAAAGATCAGGCATGTTATAGAAAGATGGATTTGATCCACCATTTGGCAGCATTGTTGGTGTTGGTGTGCTGCACGGTCCATCACTTGACTTCTTTGGATCCAACGGCATCATGGAGTTCGTGATGATTCTCTTCTAATGAATTTCTTGGAAACTCCAACCCAGGATACAGTGGTGAATCAGCTTTCAAATTACACCTTTGCTGAGAGTTTAAAGGCTGTTGTTGCTCCTGCTTTCTGCCATTGTTAGTGCTGAATACAGTTTCTTGTTCAATGGCTACCGATTTGTTACAAGGCTGCGAAATTTGGGCTTCTATCTCACTGCATCGAGTATTCAGCCCTTTAAATTGTTCCAGAAATTGTACCAGCAACTAAGTCTTCTGATTATGATCTAATCTTTCATTGCCCGATCGAGTAAACATCATGTCTACTTAGACTTTGATACCAAAAACTGATGCAGGACAAGAATAGATCGAATAGAAGAAAGCAAATAAGAGTTGTGGGTTGGAAATTCAGATAAACAAAGCTATGGTTCAAGAGTTGTTAGTAGAAACTAGAAAGAAAGGATCTGAAAATAACAAATGAGCCTATTGAAATCACTCCAATGGGCCTAGGCATCACACCTAGAGAAGGCCTCACAAATTCAGAATTTGTGAATCACTCACAAAGAAACCTCAAAAGATATTTTTTTATGCATTCATGGACTGAGTAATCAAAGTTACATAGTATCCTTTCTATAACAACTGATAACCCTTGGATACCCTATAATTCAGGTAATCAAAAGTTGACTCTAGCATAATAAAAGTAACAAATAACTTAATTGATGCAATTTAGCAAAATAATGCAATTTGACTGAACCCCCTAATTATGCAAGACTCCAAGTGGACCCACTTCATCTAGAACGTACCAAATTAAACCTTGAGCCTTTGAGCCCTCCTTGCCACACCTTGTATAATCTTTAAAAGGCTGCTTCCACCGTTCTCTACCAGGACAATAATGTCTGAGCATTTGTTGAATAGTGGAGTGTAAATCGCCTCCCATATATAAATGAATAAATATAAATGTCATTTGTGACATTCACTTGGCCAACTATATAAAATTATGCCCAGTATTTTGATTTTATGGAGTTGCTGTCTTTTCCGCACATCAGACGCCCTTTATTCTATCATAAGAGACTGGGAACATCTTGTTTGTGTTGAAATGCAATGTGCAACATGTTACTTTTCCACATATACCTTTATTACATCACTTGAGATAGAGGAAAATCAGTTTACTCTTGTTTGGCGCAGATCATTAGCCTCATTGATTGAACCCCGCCTTTTTGCCACCATGGGGTAGGATGCATATTAAAGTTTAAGATTAATTTATTGGCTGGTTTTAAGATTCTATGATTTCTCTGTTGTCTTTGCTTTCACAAGTTCAGCAAGGCAAGTAGAATCTACTAAAGTAGTCAGCAATGGGGAAGTTTATGTCAAAGCCTTTGAGCAGGGGGAAGGGTGTTCCGGTGTATTGAAGTTTCAATGCCTATATATAGATATATTGCCATTACTTCAAGAATGCTTTTTAATTAAGTTAGTGTTTTGATTGTTTTATTGCTTGGATTTTAAGATGAATACTATGCAAGGCAAAGGTAGGGACTAGAGGGTGTTGAAATATATAAATATTTCTATATAATCTTGGAGTAAAATCCTCCACCAATCATGGTGCCTCCCTCGACTATTGTACACCTTCCATATATTCTTATCTTTACCATGCATATATATAGGCTTTTTGTGCTCAAGCAATATACAGATCTGAATAATAGAAATGTAGCCCTTTGTGGCTCTTTGTCCGTGGATGAAGGCCTTAGTGCCGAACCATGTAAATCTCTGTGTTTTCCATCTTCCACTTATTCTTGATTTATATTTTATATTTGCACATCCAAATTTAACAAAGGGCATAATTCCTCATTGGTTTGCACCACCCGACTAGAAAACTCTTTTATTTTTCTATTTTTGTACACCTTTACCTATTTCTCTCTTTGCTTGTGAGGAATCTTTCCTTGTTTATTATTTCTTGTTTAGGAGAAAAGGTCGGGTCCTTTCTATTTTTGAAGATTGTTATTGTTTTTTCCTCTTTTTTTTTTTTAACCCTGAATGGTTGAAATTTTATTGAGACAAAAAGAATACAATAAAGTTACAAATACCACAGAGGGCACACCCTCTAAAATAACAAATTCAGAAGGTTAAAAGTAGGCATACCTACTCCTGCAAATAAAACAAAAAGATGATTATACAAATAAGCATATATCCTCCAGTCTTAGCTTGGAGCCTCAATCACCTCAAAGAAGACTCCCCTAGCTAAATCAGCAGCTTCTCTTCTAGAGTCCTTGTGCAGTCTTGCATTCCTCTTAACCCACATAGCAAGAAGACCAGCAGTGAACAGCATTTTGCCTACTTTACCTTTCACTGAATGAGGTCTAAATGAGCTAGAAAATCAGTCAGCCAATTACAAAAAGTTCTGGATTCTTGGCATATCCCATAGCAGCAGATTATTAAACAATTGCCACAATGCGTTAGCATACTCATTGGAGAAACAAGTGATCCCTTGTCATCTCCATGAAAACAGTTATGGCATATAGAAGGAATGCACAAATGTCTCCTCTGATATTGAAAAGAGAGGGAAGCTTGTCATGGAAAAATGAGGCAAACCGTGAATGAACTTCCAGGTCTCCCCATTTTCCATACTAGCTCAGCCCCCTGCACCTCAGAGTTTTGCATTATGCATTTCTCCCAAGCTCTCTTGAAGGAAAAGTTACCACTACTCCACAAAAGACAGTCTTGTCCAGAGCTGTATAAGTGAACAGTGGAGAAAAATTGTCTCAAATTCTGAAGTTCATCAGAATCTAATAAAGATAAATTCCATGCCCCATGTAAAATTAAAACATTCAGAGAAGCAGACCTATAAAAAGGCAACAGCCTGAAGATTTTGTGACCCCATCTTTGCTCCAGAGATAATCCAGAACACCTAGGATCATTAAACAACTTAATCAAGTCTCCATTCCCAATCCTGCATGTGATATTTTCAGCTAGCAGTTCTCTAGTAGAAAGAATGTATTTCCATACTAGAGAATGTGAGCTAGCCAATGTACAATTCCTGAAGGATACACCAGCAGTATACTTGGATCTCATCCATGCAACCCATATCCAATTCTTACGTAGAAGATAGTCCCAAGCAAGACAGCATTTGGCAGCCAAATACAACTCAGAGATCTTTCTCAGGCCAAACTCTCCCTCCTTTCTAGGAGAAGAGACTTTACTCCACTTCAAGAAATGTAACTTCTTAGCAGAATCAGAGCTTCCCCAGGTAAAATTCTTAATCTTCCTGTTAATAAGCTGAACAATAGATGCAGGCATAGAAAAAGCTGAACTCCAATAATGCACAATAGCACACACCACTGTCCTCACCAACTCAACCTTATGAGCTAGAGAGAGAAGATGAGTGTTCCAAGCAGAGATTTTGGAGTGAATCTTGTCAAAAAGTGCAGAACAAGAGTTCCTCCTTAGACCATGCATGCTCAATGCAAGGCCAAAATATGGCATAGGGGAATTGCCTTCTCCGAAGTGGAGCAGTCTCAGGAAAAAGCATTTTCCTCTTCACTGCCTTTTATTTTGGTAGTTTTTCTTTGATTGTTTCAATTGTCAGGTGTATCTCTTTTCAGAGTTTTAATAAGTTATCATTCCGTTGCATAATCTTAAATTTTATATTTTTGATGATGATTGTATGGATTGATTGACAGGTCTCACTTGCTTCTTCAAGAAATAAATTTTCAAGTGACGTCCCTCTCATTCCATTAGCAGATGAATTTTCAAGACATTCTGGGCTTGGTTCTGGGGATAAAATGGTTGATCAAGTGGGGAACTACTTTGCTCTAGCTACTGTTTTTCCTTCCTGTAAGGTTTGAATAAGACAAACACATACTGTCTTACCTTATTTTGTTCTTAGTACTATACTACTACTAATGGTTTAAAAACTTAGGAAGACAAATTGCATGCAATAATTTCAGGAACATTTAGGTTAGTGTAATGATCCTGCTTAAAGTACACATGGATTATTAATCTTCTGCAGGTTAAAAAATATAAGTCCTGACAAAAAAAGGTCTCTCTTTGATCAAGATAATGTTTAACATAGTGGTCAAATTGGGGGTTTTTCCGCAAAGTACTATGAGTGAAGTTGTAGCCCGTGGGATCTGTATTACTGAAGTTGTGCATATTTCGTCATTGGTTGGATTGTTTTGTTGGTAAAGTTCTTTGGCCTTTTGGATCTTGGTGGTTTGGGTTGTCATGGGTACTCAAGTCAACACAATAGCAACGAGCATGGAATATGTATACCACCCTGCATTGGTTATGATTTTAGTTGTTCTGTCCCGAGTCTCCATAGATTTACTGTCTATGCGTCCAGTATTAATATACACATGTATATTACGGTATAAGTTCATACTTGAAAAAAAACAAACTTGTGTGCCTTTTATAGCTTTTCTCGGTGACGGGAGTAATTTGAATTTTGTGGAAAAGGTGCCTTGTTGACAACTTTGGTGGTTTAATTGATGAAATTGCTCCATTTCAGCTCTATTATTTATCATTCAAAATAGAGTCAAGAATTGAGAGTTACCCATTATCTCTGTAGCTTTCAGGATCATGGTCTGAGATGGTTCTGCCTCTCATGGGGCAAGGTCGGGGTGGGTTTGCCCTCCAAATCTTGCACAGTAGCATTCCTTTTGTAGGCTTTTGTATTTTTCATATTTTCAGTTGAAGAGAGCTTTGGTGCTAAATGGTTGTTTTAACTCTTAAAGTAACAGTATATATCCTGAAATAAATGTGAATGCCATTGTGGTGTGCTGATTTTCGAAAAGGGATTAATGATACTTCCCTGCCACCAAATGAATAAATGTGAATGCCTTTGTTTTAATTAATTACACTGCGCCTTGCGCTTAGGCTCCATAACGCCTTAGTGCGCCTTGAGACTCTAACAACTATGGTTGATAGTGAAGTTGATTAAAAAAAAATTGATGTGGGGGATAAATGGTTTAATCATTGTAGAAACTATAACATCCAGTAATGGTATCCCTTCCTTCCTTGTAAGAAAATTTTGAACGACCTTTCGGAATATCCTACCTGGTCTGCTCTTTGTTGCTAGTGAAATGGAGTATTTTAGTAAGTGCTTAAAATTTAATGTGGAACCATTTAGCATCATATCATTTTTTCATTCAGTACATGTCCACTGTTTAGTCTTTTCCTTCTTGTTGGCATTATGCAATTAGTTAATTATGGAATATTTTTGATTTATGAATAATCTTCTTGGATCTACTTTCAAACATTATATTGTGAGAATAATATTTCACTTCATATTTTCATATTACTTATTTGGCCCCTGCAAGTAAAAATTTCTTGGTGCCTGGCTTCTCTCTCTTTCTCTCTCTCTCTCTCTCTCTCTCTTACACACGCATGCATGCACACGCACGCACACATCCCATCTTTACTCTTTCAACATGAAGCAATTGAAAGCAAACGTAGGTGTGAAGGTTCTTGTCACTTTAACTAAGGGTTCCTAACTTTTCCACATTAATTTTATTGTTCCTGTATCAATCGTAGTTGTCTTTGTTACTTAATTAAGATGGTTTAGTTTGCTGATGCTTTTCTGTTTTTAATTGAAAATAGACTCAGCATGTTCCCAAAATAGAGGTACAGAAAGGAGAAGTAAATTTGAGGGGTCTCCAAATATTTTCATTTATGTGAAGTACCATTTGGCGGCTGTGACACTCTTGGGTTGATATTTCTAGAGGTGTTTGATTTTTGAATTTCATGCAACATGGAAATTATTGATAAATTTTTAAATTCTCTTATTGTTGTCAGCCTTATGCTCTATGTTATGGATCTTCCACACCTACCCTTTTCAAATGCTTTACTACATATAAAATAAAATTTATCTATTCCATACATTTTTGGGGCTGTTGTTGAGAGAAGATTTTTACTTTTCTTTTTAATGTGAAGCTTTGACCTACTGATTTTCAGTTTCTTATATCATCCATTTATGGGCTTATTTATCTGCTTTTATTTGCATGTAAATTACAATTTTTTTTTTTGTTGTACTAATTGTTGTTAATATTGCTACTTTTTACAAGATAAAGATCCATTACATAATAGGGCGTGGATCTGTATATAACTTGAGATTGTTTTCTTGGCAGGTTCTGAAGGATGGAGTTCGATTGTCGTCAAACCTTTCATGTACATTGGGTCGTCCTTCTTTAGGCAGGGTCATGTTTGTATTTCCTATTCAATGTCAACCTGTAAAGGATCTTGTAAATGAGAATGACAAGCTGCATAGCACAGCATTTAATTGCCTCTCATTATACAAGTGCAAGGAGTTATACTTAGAGCTAGTTTCTTCAGAGAGTGGATTTACAGTGAAGTGTTCTCTGTTGCCTCACAATGATTTTCCTGCCGAAGCAGCCCGTGGTCGAGTTGAAAATGGAAAGGTTTCATCCCCCAAGACACCATTGTTCTCTCAGTCAAGACTTAGTTCACCTAATACTAGTCAACGATCTTCACCAAGATGTGAAGAATCTGTATCAAATTCACCCAATCCATATGGGATGTCATTGGATTCATTTGATATAAGAGAAGTATTAGAGGATGAAAGCGCAAAGAAACTTATACAGACCTGCGCTACTTCATGGTTATTCTCGCGTACTCTACTCTTTGGAAATATTGTAACCATCCCAATACTTTCGAAGCTCTGCATTTTGCAGGTTGTAGCTGCTAATGCAGTTTCAGCAAATAGTACTAATCAGGATCTGACAGATGAAAGTAAACTTGATATGTTCTTTCGAGCTCCTGATATAATAGATCATGTGAATGATGCTTTTTTTATAGACCATGCGACAAAAGTGTATATATGCTCACCGCCGCATTCAGCATTGGCAACTCCACATAAGAAAGATTCACAATGTGTGGAGCTTGAATGCAAGGATATCAAAGCTAACATGGACCTTTTAAAATTGGGTGGTTTATCTAAAGAATATGCAATTTTGAAGGATATAATTTCCTCATCAGGGAAGTGCACTCTATCAAGGTATGCTACAAAACACCATATTGCCATTGATTACTTGCAACGTTGATCTTGTCAATTACATAGTTTGGTGAATAAAATGAGCAAAGTTATTCTTCCTTCTTTATTTTTATGACTTTTAGGATAGGTGGAACTCATACTATCATAATTGCTCTGTGGGTAATTCAACAATTCCTGAAGTTATATGAGAAGAAATACCGCCATATAGATAGTGTCAATATATAAACTATTACGACAAACACAACGAACTCAAGAACAAATCAAGAAACACGACAGGAATGTAATTACACCGCACATAAAGAACATAAAGATTTAGCGTGGTTCGACAAAGCCTACATCCATGGTGGAGATCCGGTGAAAGTTTTTACTATGCAAAAAAATAGGAGATTACAAGTTTTAGCCCCCAAACCCTAGCTCTCGCTCTCACTCTCTTTCTCTGCGATTTTCAGTGTCTCAATCATCCCACTCCAAACCCTAATAAGCGCCCTTATTTATCGGGCTACAAGGGAGTACAAAAAAAAAAAGGGTTGTTGGGTCGTTGCGACCCGACACCAATTCTGGGCCACAATGGGGTGGAGAGGGAGAAGGAGGGTGGAGGAGGGAGGAGTGGGGTAGAGAAATCCATTTGCTTACAAAAGGATTGAAGCATTTGGTATATGGAGCTAAAACTTGGGTTTGTATATGGATTAAACGGAAGACTCCTTTTCTATAACCATTTACACAAATTGGTTGCTATATGGTTTAAAAAAAGTATCCAAGGGCATTTAAGTGAATAACAAAGGTCATATTAGTGATTTCAGAACTGAAAAGTCGTGTGCCTGGCACATGATCGCTATTATGTCCATTTCCCTCGACGGCAGGGGCTGAATAGCAAACTTTTAGGAAAGTTGGGAGTTTCTTGCTAAAACGGTAGTGCAGGGGGTTACTTTTCAAAAAACAAAAATGGTAGTTCAGGGGTTATCTGTAGTTTGCTTATAGTTCAGGAGGGGTTTCTGTAACTTACCCAATTTTTATAAATCATTATTTATTTGTGGATCAGTTGTACAGTATAGCACTTCAATTTTCAGAATAGTTTCTGTAGGTTATCTGTTATTAAACATGGTTTTTGGAAAAGTAAGCTAGTTGATTTGGCCCTTTGAACATGAACATTAAAATATTGAACCAGACAGATTGATTAGATGCTTTTATGCCATTCGCCCTTGTATTCTCAGTTTAATTTTGATTTTATGTGACTAGCTGCAAGTTAATCAATTTCCTGCTCTGAATTTACAATCCAGTAATTAAATGCATTCAAACAAAAAACATTTACCTATTGTTTAGCTTATTTAGCATTATATTCTTATTTTTCTTCCAACTGTATTAGGTTCGGTTTACGGCCTACAAAGGGAGTGCTTATTCATGGTCCACCTGGCACTGGAAAGACTTCTTTGGCTCGACAATGTGCCCATGATGCTGGCATCAACCTATTCTCTGTGAATGGACCTGAAATTGTTAGTCAATATTATGGAGAAAGTGAGCAAGCATTGCATGAGGTCTTCAATTCAGCAAGCCGTGCTGCACCTGCCGTGGTTAGATTTCTTTCCTAGATGGTCCAAAATCTAAGAAAATATTCAGTTTCCCTTTTTGAATACTAATTATGCATTTTTTTTTTTTTAATATATTAATCATTTGGCTGACAAAATGATACATTAATTTGTTAAATGTAGTGATCTTATTCCAATAGAAGTTTTTGTTTTATTATATGCATGGTTGTTTGACGGAAGTCTGACAACAATGAACCTTAACCATATAGATCATAATAATTTCTAAGGTGTTGACAATAATTTCTAGACTCACCGAGGAAGATGATCCACTAGTTATGAGCTTCATTTTGCACAAAGAAACTTGAACTAAAAGGAGTTATTATTTATGTTTGTTAGCTTTGATTATAGGGTGCAATGAAAATTGAGGATCAAGATGTATTAAAAAGTGAATGCTTCTGTTTTTTAGGCTCAATTGTTTTATGATCAATTGAAAATCAGAGATGATGTTAATCATAGAATCAAGGCAGGATGGGTTAAATGGAGGAGTGCATCTAGTCTTGCTAAGATTGAAAGGAAAGTTCTATAAAATAGTTATTAAACTAGCTGTGACGACCTTTGTGGGCGGCGGTGATGTGGGCGGTTGCGAGACACTGGGCGAGCTACTGCACTGGCAGGTTACGGGTGTCATGATCCCACCCACACCGACTGGGGAAGGCGAAGGCGAAGTGCTATATGTAGGTTCAACACCCTTTTATGACATAACGCGTTTTAAAGCCGTGATAGCCATGAACCTATTAGAACTCTGCAGTTAAGCATGCTTATGCAGGAGTAGTACCAGGATAGGTGACCTCCTGGGAAGTCTGGCCCGGGGGAGCCAAAAGCGGACACTATTGTGTTGGGTAGGGTGAGGGCTGTTACACTAGCCGTTCTTTATGGGAGATGTTACACAATTAAGAAACAACATCCATATGAAGTGTGTATGGTGGGCTTCTAAGGGCTGTGTTCCCCTTTTGAACGCTTTTTTATACAAGTACTACTTACAAAAAAAATATATATGAAGTGTGTATGGCGGAAATGAGAATGTTGATAATGCTAAGGGAAGTAGCACAAATTGGAGATAAAATGAGAGAGAATCAATTAAGATGTTTAGGGACACGCTCAACGAAGACCTAAATGCGCCAGTTTGGAAGAGTGATGTGGTCTACATTGAGGATAATGCTAAGGGAAGGGGGAGACAAACATTAACATGGGTAGAGTTAGTAAGGAATGATATGAAACATGTGGTCTCACTGAGATTATGGCTTCAGATAGATCAGAATGGAAAGATAGGATTCATTTGGCAAACCCTTACTATTTGGGAAAAATTCTTTGTTGAATTGAGTTGAACCTTCTATGGATATTATTACATGTGCAGAGTCTCAAATGAATAATAGAGTAACGAATTGAAAAATATCACAGTTCCTCCTTACTTTCTCTTTATCTATTATTTTTGTTTCTTGTTTCAACTGTTGTAAGTAATATTTGATATCTTATGGCAAGAGGAGGCAAAATATGGCTAAAATCTACCAGCCTGCATGAAATGCAAGCTCATGATGCCTTTTTTTATTTTGTTTTCTTTGTTTTGGGCTATTTCATAAGGTAAACCTAATCCCACTCCACTTCTAGTCTCTCCTTTTTTTTTTTTTTTTTGTCCCCCTTTTCTTTTAAGAGAGGCAACACTGTTGTTAATGGGTGAAACGATGTTCAAGCTCTTGGTAAGACTTGAAAGTAGTGTTAGTCTATGCATGTGCTTGAGTTCCATCGGATCAATTTGGTGGGTTGCTTGAGCTGACTTTGAATAATTGGTTTGATTTTGGGTTTAGATATTTGAGTGCACTCTGTGAGTTGTCCAGTTGATTGGTCTCACCTTATAGATGAAAAGGCTTTTATAGATGAAAAGGCTTACCGTCACTCGTAGTCCGTTTTGGGTTCTAGTTACACTGATTTTGTATATTACATTGTCTTGTGTTGACATTTCTTTGCGGGGTTTGGAATGATGACAAAACAAGTTGTACGGATCATGCCAAGTTTTCTAGCTTCTAGTTTTAGTTGCTGAAGTGGAGTTGTTCATGTAATTTAGTGAGTGAATCACTCGGGTTGGGATGAGTTCTATGTTACATGAACTCGGATATATGTTCAAGCATTGGATGTATCAAATTCCAAAATAGGACACAGGGAGACTGCTAAATATTCATATTATTTATTTGTTATGTTTTAGAGTGAAATACTGTTTTATGTAACATAGTGTTAAACGTAGCCATTTCACTTGTTTTGAAGCAATAATGTAATAAAATTGAATTATTTGATATGCTCTATTAGGTTCATGTTCAACTAAATATGTTTTGCACAGTCCATACCAATGTTTGAGTGTCTGACGCGGATACTGTACATGTTTTAAAACATAAGATGAGTTCCTATAATAAATGGAGATAACCCAAAGACAATTTGTTAATTTAGCGGAGCTTTAAGTGGAAACCTTAATTTAATGAACATTCCATCTATTGACCGCATGGTTTCAAGCCAAAGCGCATCTTGGTAATTTTGATGTTAACAACCTATTAGTATGAGATTTTAATAGCATGATCCATTTCAGGATATTATACAAACTCAAGTACTAAGTATATCCATGGACTAATTACACCAGCTTACATTTGGATCAAGCTCTGGACGGTGGAACTCAAGTTGAAGATCAAGTTCAAGACCATGGGGCTAAGGGTTTGGTGAGAGCTAGAATCTGTGTAAAGTAATATGTCGCATGTTGATTCAAAGCTCAACCCTTAGGGATTAAAATATGGACCTAAGCTTGTTGTAAAGCATAAAAGGGAAGCGAAGAGATAAATAAAACAAGTAGAATGCACAGATATTACGTAGTTGAGCCCAAAGGGCTACATCACTTTTATAACACTCTCTCAAATCATACACAATACAATGGTGGAGGCTCCTTTATATAGGAGAAGAAATTATGAAAACGGAAAGAATTAGAAAATAGGAAACATAGAGGATTTTTCTCCACTGATTCCTCTAGTAACACCAAATCTTCACTAATAGGAAACAACATCAATTACTGAAAGATTTTCCTCCACTGATTCCTTCATTAAATCTTCAATACTCCCCCTCAAGTTGGAGCATGAATGTCCAACTTGCCATTGAGATGATGAGTAACAAGAAGTGTGAATAATGAAGAGAGAAGAGAGAAGACGAAGAACAATGCTACCAAACACACCGACAACCCAAACATGTCAACAAAAACTGCCGGACACACAACAAAGATGAGGATAATGCTACCGAACACACCGGCAGCCCAAACAAGTTGATGAAGTTCCAAATTCCATGCTCCGTTGTTGATAGAATCGAACAAATTCAAAGGAATTTCCTTTGGGGAGGTAGGGGAGATGAGTTCAAGTATCATATTGTTAGATGGGAGCAAGTTTGCAAGCCTATAAAGTTGGGGGGTCTTGGTATTAGACGATTGATCCCTTCTAATAAAGCTCTTTTGCGTAAGTGGTTGTGGAGATACGGGAAGGAAAGACATCGTCCTTGGCGCAAATTAGTGTCTTGCAGGTATGGGGAAAATGTTGGTGGTTGGACTACACGTCCGGTTTCTATTGCGGGAGGAGTTGGGGCGTGGAAATCCATTCGACAAGGATGGGATGCCTTTTCCTTTCATATCAGATTCAGAGTTCGGGATGGTAGCTGTGTCCGCTTTTGGGATGATCTTTGGTGTGGGAACCAGCCTTTATGTCGTACATTTCCCAGGTTATATAGTATTGCAGTTGATAAACATGCCATAGTTGCTAACTGTTATCATCTTGATAATAGTGGGATTACGTGGAATGTTCATTTTCGGCGTTTATTTTAGGATTGGGAGTTGGAAGAGGTGAGCATTTTCTTGGATCAATTGTATCGGCAAGAAGGAATTGGTAGGGGTTTTGACAGTTTGAATTGGATTCCCTCCTCTCACGGGCATTTTACAGTTAGGTCCTTGTTTTTCTGTCTGTCTAATTTTGCATCCTATGATTTTCCTTGGAAGATTATTTGGTGCTCCATGGTCCCTACTGGGTGGCATTCTTTGTATGGACTGCTATTTGGGGAAAGATTCTGACGATCGATAATCTGAGGAAAAGGGGAAATTTTCTTGTTAATTAGTGCTGTTTATGTAAGCAGAATGGGGAGTCAGTCGATCATCTCCTAATGCATTGCTTTGTAGCGCGCGATTGTTGGAATCTCATTCTTGGCCTATTTGGCATGTGTTGGGTAATGCCACGTTCTACTAGGGAGCTAATTCATACTTGGAGAAGTTGTCGTGTGAGTAGGAGCGTTTGTGCTTATTGGAGATCTGTACCACATTGTATTTGGTGGTGTATCTGGAAGGAGCGAAATAGTAGAATGTTTGAAGGGAAGGAGTCGTCTACAGCGACACTGAAACTTTTTATTATTCGCTCTCTTTTTTGTTATGTGAACAGAAGTTCGTGTTCCTCTTCTGTTGATTTAATTTCTTTTCTGGATTCTTTGGGGCCTTGAACCCCGGTTCCTTTGTCCACAGGACGCGTTCCCTTATTGAACGCCCTTTTTAATTTATTATTACTTATCAAAAAAAAAAAAAAAACTGCCGGAGACACGACAAAGACAAAGATAAAGACAATGCTACCGAACACACCAGCAGTCTAAACAAGTCGATAAAAACTGCCGGAGACACGACAAAGGCGAAGAACAATACTGCTGAATAAACCGGCAGCCACCGAGAAACCCTTAGCAACATTTCAGATGCTAAGGGAATACCTCAAAATAGGGGTTTGAACCTAGGAAGAAAAATTAGGCTCTGATACCATGTTGTAAAGCATAAAACATGGTATTAGAGCCACTTGTCTTCGTCTGATACCACTTGTCTTCGACTTTGCCGTGTCTCTGGCAGTTTTTATCAACTTGTTTGGGCTGCTGGTGTGTTCGGTAGCATTGTTCTTGCCTTTATCGTGTCTCCGACAGTTTTTGTTGACTTATTTAGGTTGTCGGTGTGTTCAATAGCATTGTTCTTTGTCTTCTCTCTATATCATTCACACTTGTTACTCGTCATCTCAAGATGACAAGTTGGACATTCATGCTCCAACTTGAGGGGGAGTATTGAAGATTTAATGGAGGAAACATGGAGGATTTTTCTCCATTGATTCCTCTAGTAACACCAAATCTTCAATAATAGGAAACAACAACAATTACTGAAAGATTTTCCTCCATTTAATCTTCAATACTCTCCCTCAAGTTGGAGCAAGAATGTCTAACTTGCCATTGAGATGACGAGTAACAACAAGTGTGAATGATGAAGAGAGAATACGAAGAACAATGCTACCGAACACACCCACAGCCCAAACAAGTCAACAAAAACTGCCGGAGACACAGCAAAGGCGAGGACAATGCTACTGAACACACCGGCAGCCCAAACTAGTTGATAAAAACTGTCGGAGACACAACAAAGACGAAGACAATGGTACCGAACACAAAGACAGCCCAAATAAGTCAATAAAAACTGCCGAAGACATGGCAAAGGCGAAGAACAATACTGCCGAACAAACCGACAGCCACCGAGAAACACTTACCAACATTTTAGATGCTAAGGGAATACCCCAAAATAGGGGTCCGAACCTAGGAAGAGAAATTAGGCTCTGATACCATGTTGTAAAGCATAAAACATATGTTGTCTTCGTCTTTGCCGTGTCTCCGGCAGTTTTTATCTACTTGTTTGGGCTGCCGGGGTGTTCGGTAGCATTGTCCTCGCCTTTGCCGTGTCTCTGGTAGTTTTTATTGACTTGTTTGGGCTGTCTGTGTGTTCTGTTGCATTGTTCTTCGTCTTCTCTCTACATCATTCACACTTGTTGTTACTCGTTATCTCAATGGCAAGTTGGACATTCACGCTCCAACTTGAGGGGGAGTATTGAAGATTTAATGGAAGGAAACATGGAGGATTTTTCTCCACTGATTCCTCTAGTAACACCAAATCTTTAATAATAGGAAACAACATCAATTACTGAAAGATTTTCCTCCATTAAATCTTCAATACTCCCCCTCAAGTTGGAGCATGAATGTCCAACTTGTCCATTGAGATGACGAGTAACAACGAGTGTGAATGATGAAGAGAGAAGAGAGAAGTTGAAGAACAATGCTACCGAACACACCAACAGCCCAAACAAGTCAACAAAAATTGCCGGAGACACGGCAAAGGTGAGAACAATGCTACCGAACACACTGACAGCCCAAACAAGTTGGTTAAAACTGTCGGAGACACGGCAAAGACGAAGACAATGCTACCGAACACACCGGTAGCCCAAACAAGTCAATAAAAACTGCCGGAGACACGGCAAAGGCGAAGAACAATACTGCCGAACAAGCTGGCAGCCACCAAGAAACCCTTAGCAACATTTCAGATGCTAAGGGAATACCCCAAAATAGGGGTTCGAACCTAGGAAGAGAAATTAGGCTCTGATACCATGTTGTAAAGCATAAAACGGAAGTGAAGAGATAAATAAAACAAGTAGAACACACAGATATTACGTGGTTGAGTCCAAAGAGCTAAATCACTTCTATAATACCCTCTTAATTCACACACAATACAATGGTGGAGGCTCCTTTATATAGGAGAAGAGATTATGAGAATGGATAGAAAATAGGGAACATGGAGGATTTTTCTCCACTGATTCCACTAGTAACACCAAATCTTCAATTATAGGAAACAACATCAATTACTGAAAGATTTTCCTCCACTGATTCCTCCATCAAGTCTTCAATAAAGCTTAAAAGATAAATTAAATGTTTTCAAGTTCCTTAAGGAGAAATGGCTCAGCCCATAAACTTAGAATGATTTTCATGAAAAAGGGCAAGGAAGTCATTTGGGGTCACTTGGTTTCACTTTCAGCGCCAAAATGCTTTAATTCAAATTTGAAAATGAAAAGGGACATTGCTTGTTTGAATAAGTCGTCCTTATCCTTGTGTCGTGGTTGTGACAGTGGATAAGCATGAAAGTACCAGGTACTGGTCACAGGACGTCTGCTAGCTCCACAACAAATGTCCCCTTGTTGAGTTGGCCAACTGCTGAGAGTTCAAAATCTCAGGTTAAGCCAGCAAGACGTCTACTTGTAGAAGAACAGACGTTTGCGTGACAATGGACACAAGAAAAGTATAGAAACTCATGACCTTCCATTTAGACATGTTTCCAAACAGTCTCAATAGTACTCTAACAGCTAGATTATATGCTGAGACTATAAATACAAGGCTCCCTCGTCCATTTGAGCATCACTGTAAATATCTATTGAAAAAGTTTTGAAAAAAGTTTTTGAGCACTTTAATTGAAATCTTTTCAAAAAGCTAAAACAGTTTTTGGGGGAAAATCTTAGAGAAATCTCAGACTTCAATTCTTCAATCACTTACTGCATCTATTACTCTATAAAACAAAAGAGCTTCATTGTATATCTTTCTATTGAGAGAATTTTGTAGTGAGCTTTACTTGTATTATCTGTCCAGAAAAAGGGACACTATTGTTGAGCTAAAAATTGTAATATCTTGAGAGAGAGAGAACAAAAGGTTGGTGTAACCTTCTTGAAGTCTTGGTTGCTGCTCACTTGGCAAGGGTTGCTCGCGGAGCAATTGTAAAGGTTCTCTTCTACCCGTGAAAGAAGAGTGTAAAGGTTTCTTCTCCACCCGTGAAGCGAGAAGTGAGATAGTGATTTGGGAATCACTCTGTTTGCACACCAAGCACCAAGCTGCCTCACTATGTTTGCACACCAAGCACTTAGTTTTCATACTCTATTTGTGCACAAACTGTTGAGCACCCAAATACATACTCTATTAGCACACCAAACACTCTATTGTTATTCTCTGTTCTGTGCTACAAGTATTAGCCCCAAATCAAAAGGTTGCTAAGCTTGCCTAAAAGACTTAATTCACCCCTGCTCCCCCCCTCCCGCCTTATCTCTCTCTCTTCATTGTTTGGGTAACACCATCAATGCAAAGATATTGACAGTCCAAGTTATTTTTATCCCTACTATTTTTAAAATAAAAATTTAGTTATTTTAAATTTATTTTTTAAGTTATAATTTTTATCATATGTGATATAATAGTACTAAATGATATCATTAAGACGTATGAACCTTAATAATGATTATGTTACATTGAAGTAAATAGTATACTATATAGATTTTAGCAATAGAAGCCTAGTACAGTGTCCCATTGAGTTGTCAATCCACATCTGAACTATCTCTGGTTGCGGTGAAAGAGAACCCCTATCATTTTTCTAAATGGTCAGAAGTTCAGGTTGAACCATAGAAATGCTGCCACTTGAAAGAGCATTTAATGGGTTAGTTTAAATATTGTCAATGCTAAATAGAAAATGCATAGAAGTTGAGGACTAAAAAGTCTGTTTCTAGCTTCAGTTACAAAAGAAATGCGACGGAACAATCAACAGGTGAGCCCTTACCCGATCAGAATGTCATTCCAAAAGACCCTAATCTATTGGTTATGTGAAATGAAAGTTTACAAATCGAAGATGGATACTGGTCGATAACATTTTTTTGTGTTCAACGCCACAGATTCCCCGTCAGAGTGGAATTAATTTTTAGCAACTTCATAGAATTCTAATTCGATAGGTTTGTTTGGGTTTGATTTTTGGATTTACTAGTTACTAGTATTCGATTCAGAATGGCAATTGACTTTCTTCTTGGATCTGTAGAGGGTAATCTGTATTTAGTGCTTTTTCAAGTGGTAGTTCTGAAGCTGTAGTGAATTTTCATTTATCTGCTGCTTTTTCCCAGCCATGTACAATAAATTTTTTCTAGACTAATTTAAAATATGTTAAGCTTGTGTCTTCATCTGGTGGCCTTCATTAAGGTCGTCATCATTATAGACTCATGAGTCTGTTCATGCTTTATAAACCTTCCATCTCAACTGTCCTTTTGTGTCAAAATGTTAATGATGGGTTTAGGTCTACAGGTGTTCATTGATGAGTTGGATGCTATTGCGCCTGCACGGAAGGATGGAAGTGAAGAGTTGTCCCAGAGAATGGTTGCAACGCTGTTAAATTTAATGGATGGTATTAGTGGAACTGATGGGCTATTTGTCCTTGCTGCTACCAACAGGCCTGACAGTATTGAGCCTGCACTCAGACGGCCTGGAAGACTTGACAGGGAAATTGAAATAGGTAATTTTTAATTGTCCAAAACCATAATGAATGTCTTATTCTTTAAGATGTTGTGATGTTCCAAAGTACTCATCCTTTAGATTTGATTAGACGTCATAAAATAGAGATTTAGTTTTATTGGTGTTTGTTTAATTTCCTAACATCTGCTTAACTTTTATTAGCAACCAACATATTGTTATCCCCTACCACATACAATGGCACGTTTTTCCTCATTGGGTTGTTTCAAGAGGCCAACATATATCACTCCTCAACTTTTAAACTGTTGCCCCCTCTCCTAACTAAAATATGTGTGTGTGTGTGTGAGAGAGAGAGAGAGAGAGAACTATTGGGCTCAGAGAATAATTTTAAATTTACGAGCCATGTGACATAGTTTAACTATTCAATATGACAATCTATTGAACATTATTTTGGGTACGCTCCCTATTATATATCAGCATTCATAAAGTTTCAATACCTGCCAGCATTTGTGCTATGTTCTCTTTTATATTAATCTATTTCTTAGCCTTCAATTTTGACCTAGATATGATAGTTACAATGCTGGATCTTAGTCATATATGGAATCTAGCATAGAAGTGGATATTAAAAAAATCATTTATTTCTTTAATTATAATGCTAACACTCTTTCCTTTTGTTAACACTTGAATTTAATGAAAGGGGGATAAAAGATATAAATGGCAGAGGTCTCTATGAAATAAATGGAAGGAAACAAATGAAACTGAGCAAACCACATTAACAGCATAAATGATAAAATATGAGTTTTTGCAATTCCTTTTGAGTACAATAAGTAAATATAAGTATGTTAGAATTTCAGAAATTATCATTCTAATTCAATTCCTCCAAGTTGTGCAATTAAGGTCGACATGCAAAAAGCATTTGACTGTGTGAGCTGGGATTACATCCTAGACCTTTCAGACCTGTTCGACGTTCGTAGTTTATTCTGCCAGTGGATTAAATCCTGCATAACAACACCTAAATATTCCCCAAATGTGAATGGTGCTCTTGAAGGTTTTTTTTCAAAGTGCTAAAGGTCCAAGGCAAGGAGATCCCATCTCTCCTTACCTTTTTCGTATTGCTATGGAACCCCTTTCCCTCATTATTTCTCATTTTGTCTCCCAAAATCCATCTAAATACTACTGGAGATGTGATAAAACTAAGCTGACTCACCTTTGCTTTGCTGATGATATTATCATGCTCTGCCATGGTGATGTTAGTTCAGCTACTATCCTTTTCAATGCCCTAGAACTCTTCTCTAGCATATTTGGAATGTCTCCTAACCCTTCTAAAAAGTGATCTGGTTTTTTGCTAATGTTTCTGACTCAGTTAAGTCTTGCCATATCTACTTGCTTTGGCTTCCATCACAGTTCTCTTCCCTTTAGATACTTGGGTGTTCCCCATATTACAACTAAGCTTAAAGTACTTGACAGTTCTTCCCTTGCTGAGAAAATTACTTCTAAAATCATATTCTGGGGGAACAAATCTTTATCCTATGGTGGTAGACTCCAGCTCATCAAAAGTCTGCTCTTTTTTTTTTTTACTAGTATCTATAAAGATGAGTTTGTAGTATATCTAAAAATAAGGGGTAATGCATTCACCTCAACACAATGCTCGACTATATCCACCTTGCTTGGGTTGTGTTATTGTGAACCGTGGCCAAATTATCTCACCTAAGCAACTAAGAGAGCAAACAATTTCTTTGACTACTCTGTTTCACCCTTTATCAAAATTAGGGCGCAAGGGAAAAAGAGAGAACGAAATATATATATATATATATATATATATATATATTGATAAGCAAGCCTTCAGTAATTAGAACCATATTTGAACTTAAAATTAGATAAATCTTTGTTTGTATTGTTGACCAGGAAATGAATACCTTTCTGCATTGTCTGAGGTCTTTACTTCTCACCTGATAGGGAATGACTTTATTTCCTTGATAATTTATATGCAGGTGTACCGTCCCCCAAGCAACGTTGTGATATACTGCTTGCCCTTCTTAGTGAAATGGAACATTCGCTTTTGGACATGCAAGTTCAACATCTTGCTATGGCTACACATGGTTTTGTGGGTGCTGATCTAGCTTCCCTCTGCAATGAAGCAGCCTTGGTTTGTCTTAGGCGTTACGCTGACCTAAAGACATGTTCTGATATTTCAGACCTCAACGGAATATCTATTGCAGATGGTGGTTACCCTACTAGTATGACAAAAGGCTCTGATTTTCCTAAATATGCAAGGGATCTATTTTCAAGAGAGAATTCAGAATCTTCATCTTCATCTATTTCAGATTTGCTTATTTCGTCGGAGGCTCATAAAGGAGTTAATACGACTCGAGTAAATAAGATGTTTAGAGTGGAAGAACAGTTTTTGAAAGTAACTTTCGGAGACTTTGAAAAGGCTAGAATGAAAATAAGGCCGAGTGCCATGCGAGAGGTATATTTACACATCCATATTCTGGCTAATTTTGTATACCGCGCGATGTAGTCATCTAGTGTCCAGTAATGCCAAGATGACTCTTATCATTTGCTATAGAAAAAAAATATTGTAGTTGGTCTTTTGTCATAATCCTTTACTTGTTCCCTATTTTTACTAGGTAATACTTGAGGTTCCGAAGGTTAATTGGGAAGATGTTGGTGGTCAAAAGGAGGTAAAGACACAGTTAATGGAAGCTGTAGAATGGCCTCAAAAGCACCAGGATGCTTTCAAGCGTATTGGAACCCGTCCCCCAACAGGGGTTTTGATGTTTGGTCCACCAGGGTGCAGCAAAACCCTTTTGGCTCGTGCAATAGCTTCTGAAGCAGGGCTGAATTTCCTTGCAGTGAAGGGTCCAGAACTTTTCAGCAAATGGGTTGGTGAATCCGAAAAGGCCGTGAGGTCTCTCTTTGCTAAGGCAAGGGCAAATGCCCCATCAATTATATTTTTTGATGAGATTGACGCTCTTGCCATCATACGTGGGAAAGAAAGTGATGGGATTTCGGTTGCTGATCGGGTTATGAGTCAACTTCTTGTTGAATTGGACGGTAATTAATTAATTTTATATATCACATATTTAAGTAGATTATTTTTTCTTCCCCTTTGCTGCTTCTGGAGGGCTTCCATTTAACAGTATGAACAAATCCTTTAGCATCTCCTGAGATAGAAGTATATCAAATTTACATTTCCTTGCAGTTTTTATTGTAAAACACGAATTTTTAACTAGGTTTCTAAATTGTATTTGTTTAGATTTCTCATCAGCAGCTTGGGAAACAAATTTTTAATAATATCCTAGATTTCGAGATGTGAGGAGATCTTTTAAGGAGATCCATAAATCTGTTAGCTTAAGAACTTCGACATACTTACCGATATAAAAATGAAACAGAAAAATAAGTAACTTAAATATCTAATGTATTATGAAATTGAACTGATACATTTTTTTATTATAATCTACAATATAAACAAATACTTTGTTGTTTTAGGTTTGCAGCAAAGAGTTAATGTTACGGTGATTGCTGCTACAAATCGGCCAGATAAGATTGACCCTGCTCTTCTAAGACCAGGTGCCGCCAGTCTCCAACATCTTCCTATTTCTTTCTTTACCTAAATCAATAAGTCTCCTGCTAATTGATTAATTTTTGATAGGACGCTTTGACCGGCTGTTATATGTGGGACCTCCTAGTGAAACAGACCGAGAAGATATATTTCTTGTCCATTTGCGCAGAATGCCATGCCATTCTGATGTCTGCATTAAGGAGCTAGCTCTTCTAACTGAAGGCTACACTGGGGCTGATATATTGCTGATTTGTCGTGAAGCAGCTGTTGCAGCTATTGAAGTTAGTTGAGTTCCATTTATATGATCAATAAAAATTCTCTCTGAAAATTTGCCTTTAGTAATACATACATAAATATATATATATATATATATATATATATATTCGTTGAATGTTATCAGGAGAACCTTGATGCCTCAGAAATAACAATGGAACATCTAAAAAGTGCAATTAAACAAGTACACCCATCAGAAATTCAGTCTTATCAAGAGTTGTCCACAAAATTCCAAAGGCTTGTACGCTCTAGTGCAACAAGGGATGAAGTTGGCTATCAACCATACTCAAGCAAATCAAATTGGATTCATTTCAGGTACTCATTTCCTCCTTTCCATTTTGTTTAAAAGGTGCAGTTATATCTTCTTTTTTCCTGAATGTGTATATTTTATTGAAAGAAATAGCAATAAAGTACATAGAGAAAGATCCCTAAAAAATAGGACCACCAACAACAATGAAGAAAAGGAGGAACCAGGGCATACCCCAAAACCAAAGAAAGATATAACAAGTCACCAATTACACAGGAGCATAAACAAGATACAAGAAAATCAAAACAGCATCTCAATTTCAGAAATAGACAATCCTATAGCTGTCAAGCCTTTGAAACAAACTTCAATAGCCAGAAGATGAGGATGATGAGTAGTTCCACCATGAACTCTATGATTTCTTTCATTCCAAATGCTCCATAATATGGACAGAAAAAAACCAATTAATAACATCAGAAAAGTGCAGCAAATTGAGAAAACCATCGCATTTCCAAAACTGATTGACCCATCTCCATACACTTCTAGCATAAGAACAACCCCAAAAGACTTGATCTCTTGAATCAACATCTGAAACAATTATGACAAATGGCTGGACCAACAAATCCCCTCTTCATGAGATTAAAGTATGAAGGAAAAGCATTATGAAATATTAAAGCTGATTGGACTGCAATTCTAGGCCTACAATTATTCCAAACAAGACTAGACCAGAGGACTGGTTAACTATGATCCCTACACACTTCCCACACATCCTTGAATGTGGACATCCCATGCTTCCATTTAATTTTATCATCAGATTCTACATCAGCATGTTGACTCAAGTGCTGGCCAATCTCAAGAGGCCAACTATGAGGAGTCCTCCATGCATCAGGAGGAAAAAGAACAGAACTGCTATCTGTGTAACTGAAACCATCACAGAAAAGTCTTCTCAATCCAAACACATGTTACAGAGAGAAACCATTGAACCATGGATCATAATACAAGCTAAACTGAAGTCCATTCCCAATGGAAAAAGATAGATGCTGCAAAATGAATTCTCTGTTATTTAGAATAGACTTCCAGATAGTAGAGTCATGTACTTTTGCATTCATGGTCCAAAAATGTGAATTCTTAACATACTTATCTCTAAACCATTTCACCCACAATTCCTCCTTTGACACTAGAAAATGCCAGGATAAGACACAAGAAGAGGAAAGATCAATAATACAAAAAATTCTCAGCCCCAGCCCACCCTCTTTCTTAGGTAATGTCACTTTCTCCCAGGCCATAAGAGGGGATCTTTTTTAATCAGGACTGCCTCCCCCCCGCAAAAAAATTCTCACCCTCCTTTCAACCTCATCCTGAACCCCCACAGGGACAGAAAAAAATTGCTTCCCAAAAGTAAGTAAGAAGAAATAATAGTCTTTACCAGTTCTAACCTCTGCCATAGAGAGATTAATAGAGCTCCATGAATTAAGCTTAGAGTTCACCTTGTCAAGGAAACCTAAACAATGGATTCTCCTCAATCTGCCAGCCACAAGAGGAAGACCAAGATAGTGTACGGGAAGGGAGCCTTCCTTGAATTTCAAAACTCTTAGGATGCTTCTCTTTCTTCTAACTGAGCTTGAGAAGAAGACCAAACTCTTATCAGCATTCACCTTCAGCCATGAGATATAACCAAATTCTTCAAACAATGCAGTCAGATTTCTAGCATTCTTCATTGAGGCTTGAAGGATAAGGAACAGATCATCTGCAAAGAAACAGTGAGAAATAGTAGAGCCCATCTTCGCCCATCTTCTTAACAGTGTCAAAAAGATCCAGCAGCCCTGAGGAGACAGATCCAGTAATCATTTGGGTAAAATAATCTGTGACTAATCAGAAAAGTAAGGGAGAGAGAGAATAACCCTGTCTAAGACCTCTTCCAGCTGAGAAGAAATCTACAGGCACCACATTCACAAGCAGAGTAATGGACTGAAGACACACACTCCATCACCGAGTCACTCCAAATATCCCAAAACCATACACGAGAAGAAGATGATGAAGAAATGTCCATGAGATAGAGTCACAAGTGTTAGAACATTCATGTATATATATATATATATATATATATATTGGGCCATGTTGTAATTATGTATAGTTGGTAGGGCCAGTATGTAATTAGCTCATGCCTGTACTTGTATATAGGCTGCTTTTGTTCTAGGGTTCAATATATGAAAGACAGCCTCCATCTCTCTCTCTTTCAATCTTCACGTGGTATCAGAGCATCGATCCGGCCATCGTCGCTGCTGCCGAAGTGCTAGGGTGTGTACTAGCTTGTGGGCGTGATTTGTTTGAAGAGGTGCAGAGGACCTTCGCCTTTTTTTTCCTGTTCTGTGTGCTGTCTTCAAATTTCCGATCGTGATATTTCAGATCGGTGTGCGTTGGCGAGCTTGGTTTGCAGTTGAAAATTGTTGTGATCTCGCGATTGCTGCCTTCATCATTTCTTAGCTGTGTTCTTCATCAACGACCATCTCTGGGCTGTTGGTGAGAAGTTTGTAGAGGTCGCCGTTGGTAACTGGATTTAGTCTTGCCGTGTTCTGCTGTTGCTGCTGCTTTTCGGTTGCAGTCGCTGTGATCTGTGTTGTCCGTCGCTGTCGCCAAGAGATAGAGTTGCAGAGGTTGCCGTGTCCTTGCCGTTGTTGAGCCGCAGTTTGGAACTGCAATTGTGAAGAAGATGAAGGGTGTTTGGCTACATGAGTTAGGTAGCCCAAACCTGGTTTACTAAAACCGGTTTTGCAGAGATCCGGTTTTGACTCAACCCGGTTCTGCAGACCCGTATCATTGGACCGACCCATATATATGGATCCGACCATATATCTGAATCTGGCCCATTTTGTTGAATCCGACCCAGATTTTCTTGTGGATCCGGCGAACCAATTTCTGGGCAGCATTTCTCTGCCTTCTCTATCTGGCCTGTTCATTTTGTTGTTTGTTCTTCTTGGTCATTAAGTTTTTTTTTTTTTTTTTTGTGAAGTATGGCCTCTTTGGTTAAACCTTCATCCATGTCAGAGTCTTCAACCACTACTGCCTCTGAACTTGCGGGAATTAAATCTTCTACTGCACATTTTGATCATGTTGGACTGCAAATTACAACTCTGAAATTAAGTGCTTCTAATTATTTACCATGGGCTCGAGCTGTTAAAATCTCTTTAGGAGCCCGACGAAAATTAAAATTTGTTACACATGATCCTCCATCTACAACTGCAACAGGGTATGATGATTGGGAAACAGATAACTACATGGTTATGTCATGGTTGTGGAATAGCATGGAGCCTTCCATTGCAAAAAAACTTTATGTTTTTGAACACCGCAAAGGAAATTTGGGATGCAGTAAAAGAAACTTACTCTATGGACACAAATGTTTCTCGCATCTATTCTTTGTATGAAAAGATGTTTCATTCTCGTCAGTCTGGTCAAAACATTGGTGAGTATTACAGTGGTTTCAAAAGCCTGTTGGATGAGTTGAATCAATACCACCCCTTGACCACTGATCTTGAAGTTCTCAAGCGACAACGTGAGGAATTTTATGTTTCTATTTTCCTTGCGGGACTAGACACTAATATTCAGAGTATTCGGGAACAAATCCTTGCTAGTGATGGAGGGCTTCCATCTTTGGGTAACAATTATGCTCGATTACTTCGGGTTTCGAAACCATCACGTGGAACATCAACTGGGAAAGAAAATTCAGCTATGATGATTCCTTCTGTCACACTACAGGTTTCTAGAAATCGTGGTAATCCCAGTAGCGACCGAGGGTATGGAGGCAATGTGGATGGTTCCCGTGGCAATGGTGGTCGTGATTGAGGTCGTGGTTGCCATGGTCGTGGACGTACTGATAGTCGTCACTGTGGGGGTACTAATTATTCTATTGAGCATTGTTGGGATCTTAATGGAAAACCAGCATGGGTGAATCAAGTGATCACTTCCTCTGAAATTGTTTATTCTCATCCCTCTCTCGGCCAGGCCATCCCACCTTGCTCAGCTTTTGTATTGCTATCGAATTCATCTATTAGTGACAGCGGACAGCGTCACACTATCTCGAGCCGAGTTTAGTGCCTTGGTCAACCAAGCAAATCATAAATCTGATTATGTTGTTACCTTTGCCAAGTCAGGTAATATTACATGTTTTTCAGATGTACAAACTTCATCCTCCCCTTGGGTTCTTGACTTTGGGGCATTTACGCATCTAACGGGTAATGAATCTCTATTTTCTAATTTCCACATGTCTAGCTCCACATCTTTTGTTACCATGGCAGATGGTAGAACTCATCACATTATTGGTCAGGGCACAATTAAACTCACTACTTCCATTTCATTATCTTCTGTGCAATTGGTTCCATAATTTCCTTTTAATTTATTATCTGTGAGTAAACTGACTCAAGCACTCAATTGTTCTATGACTTTTTATCCTTCCTTTTGTGTCTTTTAGGACCTCAAAACGAAGAAGACAATTGGTGGCGGAATTAAAAGGAATGGCCTCTATTACTTGGATTGCCAGTTGTCTACTAGTGGTGTGGCTCTCCATTCACAGGTTTTTGTACGCAAGTGGCATTATCGGTTAGGTCATCCCTCTTTGAGGTACTTGAAGTCTGCTTTACCTTTTCTTGAGTCGTTGTCTACTTTAGATTGTGAGTCATGTTAATTGGGCAAGCACCATAGAGTGTTTTTTTCTCCTCGTATTGATAATCGCCGGTCTTCTTTATTTGAATTGGTGCATACAGACATTTAGGGTCCTGCTCGTCATGTCAATAATTAAGGTTGTTCATATTTTGTTACCTTTGTTGATGACTATTCAAGGGTGACTTGGATGTTTTTAATGAAAGACCGGTCTGAACTTTTTTCTATAGTTTCAAAGAAATTGAGGTCCAGTTTGGCTGTGTTATACAAACTTTACAATATGATAATGCTATGGAATATGTCAAAGGTGTTATTTGTACTTTTTGTGACTCTCGTGGTATTTTGCACCAAACTTCTTGTCCTTATACTCCTCAACAAAATGGTGTAGCAGAACGGAAAAATCGGCATTTAATTGAAATAGCTCGGACTTTAATGATCCATATGCATCTTCCAAATGCATTTTGGTGAGATGTTGTTTTAACTGCTTGCTACTTAATTAATCGTATGCCATCTTCCGTTCTTAACTGGAAATACCCCTATTTTATTGTTTTTCCTACACGTCCCTTATTTGCATCGACGACTCGTGTTTCTGGTTGTGCATGCTTTACTCATTCATTACATCTTGGCATTGATAAATTGACTCCTCGTGCTGTTAAATGTGTCTTTATTGGTTACTCTCGAACTCAAAAGGGTTATAAATGTTGGTATCCTAGCAGTCGTAGTGCTTTTGTGTGTATGGATGTCACCTTTTTTTAGGATACTTCTTACTTCTCTTCACGTGGTTCGTCTTTAAATACTGATTTATTGCTTCCGTTTCCTGTTGTGTCTACTTCAACCGAGTCTGTCACACCACCAACACTTCAAGTGTATAGTTGACGACCACAGGAAACATCCCCCCAATTGTCTACTTCTATTGAGGCTCCTCCTGCTGCTGATCTTCCTTTTGCCTTGTGCAAAGGTACTCGTTCTTGTGTCACTGCACATCTTATTTCTAACTTTGTCTTATATAATAATGTATCGCCCTCTTTGTCCTTTTTTTTTTTTATCCACATTGTTTGCCACTGTTGTTCCCAAGATTGTGCAGGATGCTCTTTTTAATCCTGCTTGGCGCAAAGCCATAGTAGATGGATGCTCTTCATTATAATGGGACATGGGATCTCTTGCTCCCTTACCTCCTGGTTCCAAACCGGTTGGTTGTAAATGGGTCTACATTGCCAAATATCTTCATGATGGGTCTATTGAGCGTTTGAAGGTTCGTCTTGTTGCAAAGGGATACATCCAGACCTATGGTATTGATTATGATGAAACCTTTTCCTCTGTTGCGAAGATTTCTTCTATCCGAGTCCTTGTTTCCATTACCGCCTGTGAAATAGTTACAGTGCAATGAGAGAGAGAGCAGATGGATGAGTGACTGCCCTCAGTTTATCTTATAATTTCAACCCTAAACATAAAAGGGTATATATACAAACACAAGAAAGGCTTATTTGCATAATGGCCACAAACTCTATATATTATTACAATCTGACCCCAACATAAATATATATCTACATATAAATGTTCTAACACTGCCAATTGTAACTAGACGTTGTTCCAATTAGTTGTGAAAAATGCCTTCTTGCACGGTGATTTACTTGAAGAGGTTTATATGGAGCAACCAGTGTTATTAAAGGCCCAAAGCGCTAGAGGTCCTTTGGAGCCTAGGCGCGAGGCGCGCGTATGAGTGAAGTGAGGCGTACAATTGAAAATTTAAACTACCATAATAACATTCATATCTCATAAGTCATATCAATATTCTAAAAATTAATATCAAATATAAAAAAGTAAGTACTATACAAGCATCCAACAACCATAAAACAGAGCATAAATTTGTTTTCTGGAAAGGCAAAGCAAAATGTGTTTTTCTAAATGGCAAAACAAAGCACAAAAAGAAATAAATATGTTAACAAAAAAAATATTGTTAACAAGAAAAAAAAAAGAAGAAAAAAAAAACAAAGACACAGAGAGAAGAGAACTAGTCGAAGAGATAGATGTAAATAAAGATAAGAAGAGAGGGGAGATCTAAAGGAGAAGAGAAATAAAAGAAAGAAAGAACTGACGTGGCTTCGTCGTTCATCTCTGCAACTAGGGCTTCACCTCGTCTTCGTCTTCATCTCACAATCTCATTCTATCGCTGTTCGGTTAACACTTTAACTCTTGGGTTTTTTTAATTTTTTATTCTTTTGTACAAAAGTTTCTTCTATCGTATGCTTAGGCTTTCTTTTTAGTTTATTAAGTTGTCAAAAGTACCCTTTCTGAATGGCAAAACAAAGCACAAAAAGAAATAAATATGTTAACAAAAAAAATATTGCTAACAAGAAAAAAAAAGAAGAAAAAACAGAGCCAAAAAAAATAAAGACAGAGAGAAGAGAACTAGTCAAAGAGAGAGATGTAAATAAAGATAAGAAGAGAGGGGAGATCTAAAGGAGAAGAGAAATAAAAGAAAGAAAGAACTCATGTGGCTTCGTCGTTCATCTCTGCAACTAGGGCTTCGCCTCGTCTTCGTCTTCGTCTTCATCTCACAATCTCATTCTATCGCTGTTCGGTTAACACTTTGACTCTTGGGCTTTCTTTCTTTTTTATTCTTTTGTACAAAAGTTCCTTCTATCGTATGCTCTTGGGCTTTCTTATTTTTTTATTCTTTTGTACAAAAGTTCCTTCTATCGTATGCTTGGGCTTTCTTTTTAGTTTATTAAGTTGCCAAAAGTACTCTTTCTGAATGGCAAAACAAAGCACAAAAAGAAATAAATATGTTAACAAAAAAAATATTGTTAACAAGAAAAAAAAAAAAACGAAGAAAAAACAGAGCCAAAAAAAATAAAGACACAGAGAGAAGAGAACTAGTCGAAGAGAGAGATGTCAATAAAGATAAGAAGAGGGGAGATCTAAAGGAGAAGAGAAATAAAAGAAAGAAAGAACTGACGTGGCTTCGTCGTTCATCTCTGCAACTAGGGCTTCGCCTCGTCTTCGTCTTTGTCTTCATCTCACAATCTCATTCTATCGCTGTTCGGTTAACACTTTGACTCTTGGGCTTTCTTATTTTTTTATTCTTTTGTACAAAAGTTCCTTCTATCGTATGCTTGGGCTTTCTTTTTTGTTTATTAAGTTGCCAAAAGTACCCTTTTTGGCTTAAGAAATAGAACAATAGTATTTTTTAAAACAAATATCAGTGAGGCGCTCCTCACAAACAGTACGAGGCGCAATAGAGGCGCGCGCCTAGTAAACATCTGTGTGCCTGGGATGACAACTGGCACTAAACCTGAGCCTTGGGCCTCACAAATAGTACGAGGCGCAATAGAGGCGCGCGCCTAGTAAACATCTGTGAGCCTGGGATGACAACAGGCACGAAACCTGTGCCTCGAGCCTAGGCGTGCCTTTAACAACACTGGGAGCAACCACTTGGCTTTGTTGCTCAGGGGGGAGTCTCGTCATGTTGTATGTCGCCTTAAGAAGGCTCTGTATGGATTGAAACAATTTCCAAGGGCTTGGTTTGGAAAATTCTCTGAGGCAGCACTTGCCTTTAGTCTTTAGTCTTAAAAGATGTTAGATAGATCATTCGGTATTTCACCAACACACTAGAACTGGTTTTATATTTCTTGTGGTGTATGTAGACGATATTGTTATCACAGGTAATGATTATGATGGCATTGCTAAGTTGAAGTTGTTTATGCAAAATCGGTTCCGCACTAAAGACTTAGGTAAAACAAATATTTTTTGGGTATTGAGGTTGCTTGATCCAAAGAAGGTATAAGCTTATCTCAAAGGAAATATGTGCCGGACTATTAGAAGAAACAGGTATATTAGGTGGTCTTCTTGCTGATGCTCCTATGGATCAAAATATAAAACTCTTGTTTGTTGAGGGTGATTTATTTGACGACGATGACAGATATCGACGTCTAGGTGGGAAATTAATTTATCTCACCATCATGTGACTTGACATTTCATATGCAGTTAGTGTTGTAAGTTAATTCATGGGACCTCCTAGAATACCGCATTGGAATGCTTTTCTTCGAATTATTCAATATCTCAAGCAGGCTTCAGGTTTTACGTTGCTATATAAATCGAATGGTCATCTCAGTGTGGAAGGTTTTACAGATGCTGACTGGGCTGGATCTCCCTTAGATAGGAGGTCTATTATAGGCTGATGCACATTTGTAGGAGGAAATCTTGTTACATGGAAGAGTAAGAAACAAATGGTAGTAGCTCGATCTAGTGCTGAAGCCGAGTACAGGGCAATGGCTCATACCACTAGTGAGTTGACATAGATACAACACTTTCTGGAGGAACTTGGGTTGACTGTTAAAGCTCCTATTCCATTCTTCTGTGATAACCAAGCGGCCATTCACACTGCATCCTAATGCAATCAACTTATGGAAGAGAGAATTAAATCACTAAGAAGGGAAAACAGAGAGCAGGATTAAGCTAGCGAAGAACTTAAACACCCACAACTCAATCCTAAAGAAAGGGAGAGATAAAAAGCTATTGTAGCAAGCTGATATTATTGATAATACGTTAAAAAAAAAGACCCTCATTACAACTTGGAACAACCCTTTTATGAGCCACAAGGGATGCCTTAGCAAAGATATAATCCTCGCCTTTCAAATAAATGTAATCTAAGGGCTAGTATTCTCTCCAGCTGAATAAAGAGCTAAAAATTACAAAACAGACCTTAAACAGTCACATGACTCACTTAAAAGGCACATGACTTATAAAATAAAATCAAATGACAATAATATCCTAAGCATGAAATAAAACAGATTAAAGACTTATAAATGACTCAAGACTAAAAACAATCACATAATCAGACTCATCATCAGCTAGCCTATTTATGGAAACTCAGTCTATTTATGGAAACTAGGTCGCGTCTTCTTAGAGTGTTCAACAATTTGAAAATAGTCTTCTTCCACTTGCTCTACATCACATCC